TATAATTTTTTTTTTTTTTTTTTTATTTCAGTGTGTTTATTTTATTGTATTTAAAAAAAAAAATTTAGAATGAATTAAATTTATTTGCATTGTCATATAAATAATATTTTTTTTCTGAAAAATTAATATAGAGTGAATTAAATTCACTGACAATGTAATATCAAATCAATTTTATTCCTGATAATATTTTATTTAATTGTATTGTACGCTTTTAATCAAATACTTATTTTTTCAAACCACTTTTAATTAAAAATCTATTTTATAATAATTTTTTTCAAATTACAATTATAATAACTTTTGCAATACTAAATATATTTTAAAATATAAAAATAAAAAAATAAAGATCGCAGAAACCAAACCGAATATCCTCTCTCAACATGAGCCGCCATTAAAAAAAATCCTTATCAAAATGATTCCAACAATTAAAAAAAAAAGGCACCTTCAAAGATTGGTAGCTGCACCTGCCATCTAAGTGTGACAACACGTACCAACAATTTTTTTCCCCTGTCATTCAAATCAATCATTGATTTGACAAGTTTTGAATTCTCCCTTAAAGCATCAATTGTTTTGAACCAATTAAAATCGAATTTGGTTTTGTCAGAACCAAGCATAAACTAAGCACTTGATCTTTTTCTTTGTGAGAATTGAATATGAATCCCTCATGAGCAAAACCTAAGCATAATCAATCTAATATAAAAATAATGAAAAAAACTTAAGTTACAAAAGGATTATTGTAATCCATACAATTTTATTTTTCTATAGTAATTTCACTATTTATTTTAATTTTTTTCAATAATAATAATAATGATGATGAAAATATTTTTCTTTCTTTTATTTTTTTTAAAATTATTTTCTTATATTTTGTATGACAGTTTATTCAAGCTGCGGTTTTTGAAATTATTTTTTTAAATTGTCATAATAAATATATGATATTATAAGAAATATATATATATATATATATATATATATTTAAAAATACTATTAATTTAAATTCACTCAACTGTTATCTTTTTCATTAACCTATTTAAATTGTTTTGACTAATTTGGATCAATTTTTAACATTTGACTTGTAGAAAATTAATTGAAAAATTCACTCAAAGAGCAAATTGTATTTATTGTAAAATATGACCAAAACTTTTCAATTCAGAACATATTTGTAAAAAAAATAATATATAGGGATCAAATATGTATCAATAAAATATCTTATGATGTAAGTAACTGACACGTAGTTGCAATAAGTAACAGAAGTACCTATAAATAGCAAAAATATAACATATATAAATGATATTAAGACAAATAATAATAGAAATATATATATCTTTTAGTAAAAGAGAGGTATTGTCATTATAATTTTTAATCAAACATTCAGAATATACGTGACGTGACAATAGAGGGGCGGTTATCAAGAGCAGCGCTTTACAGGGCGGCGCGTGAGCCTACTTTGAGAGGCCACGCCCCCTATATTTTCATAAAATCACTTTGGTCCCTAAATTCAAAGTCTATTTTCAAATCAATTCCTTAAAACTACTATTTGCCCCCCGGTAGGTTCTTCCTCTGGCAATAAAATCATATTTGACGGGTCTGAAACTCTCAGTACAATTTCCTCTCCATTTCTTGTAAAAAATAAAAAAGGAAAAAGAAAAAAGAAAAGTTTTCATCATAACTTCTGAAATATTATAAATTCGTCGTTCCATCTCTTAGTATTTTAGTCCCATGGTAACATACTATGACTTGTCACATGGTGCAGTTGCCCATATATGTGGTTTTTTTTTTTTTAAATTAATGCAAAGACTTCGTCAATGTTTATTTTTCCTTTTGGATTTTTGTCAACGATTCCTTGTTGTCATTTGCAATAAATTTTTACAACATGTACCCAAATAGAGTTTATTTGAATTAATAATTATAATTATTTTTTAAATAGTTTTTTATGTTAAAATACATGTTAATGATATTTTTTTATATTTTAAAAATTATTTTTAATATTAGCATATTAAAATCATTTGAAAACATTAAAAATATATTAATTTAAAATTAATAAAAAAATAAAAAAAATTATTTATTTTTAAATAGTTTTAAAACACAAAACAAATATAAACAATCATGCCCTAAATTGATTGGCGCAACGGATCACAAGACAAACGATATAATTGGCTTATGCCAATCGGCTAGATCTGAAACAAAGATTTCTCGGCCAATAAAAACCAAGTCCTCGATCAGCTATTGGTGCCGTGGAGACCTCGTCAGAAATTGTAACTTTCTGTAAAGTCTTCGTCAACGATCGGTTCTTTTTCCATTTAAAGAAGAAGAAGAAGGAAAAAACCCCTGCTTGCCCGTGATTCCTCACAACTGCATCTCTCAGACCCTCAATAAGCATCTTATTGACCAGCTCTTCGGACATTTTCATCTGAAACTTGGGTATTGTTTCTGCTGGAACTAATGAATGTTCTGGTTTTGGTTTGCCGAAAAGGATCTCGTCTTGAAACTATGGGGTACGTTCGCAAATATGTTTTGATTTTGTACATTATCATCTATCTGTCTCTGTTGCTGTTTACTAGATTTTTACCCTTGGTCCATCCCTCTCTCTGTTTATAACTCATAATTTGCAGGAAGGGCAAGAAAAGATGAGTAGAAAATGTGGAAGATGTTTGCTGTAGAAAATGCGAATGATAGGGATAAAAGGATTCCATGAGTCACTAGCTGCGTCGATCTAGCAGCTTCATGGGGGGCGAATCAAGTTAAAATATGAAAAGTACTGAAGCTGCATAGTTAGCTTCGTCATCAATATTAACAGCATGACAAGTGCAGGCGCAGCAAAACAGAAACAACGTTTTGGTTTGGATGCCCCCCCCCCCCCCTTTTTTTTGACACTGGATTTAAGCCACAGATATAAGTAGTTTTATCTTCCTCTTTCTAAGTTGTGTTTTTAAATTAATTCCTGCTTACCATCCGCTAATTGCTTTATTCCCACCACAGTTACCGGAAATCCAACTAGATTAGGAATAAGCCCCCGGGGTTAGATAATTTATTGATTAATTGATCATAGTAATCTTATCTATTCTCTATAACCAAGATAGTTGATAGCTTATACTTGTATTCGGTAGGTCAAAGTAGTTAGTACCTGTAAAAGATTTTTTTTGATAGAGATGGAGATTCTTTCATACTTAAATAAATATCTTTTTAGAAAGAAAAAATATAAGAACATTCTAAAAAGAGATGATCTGAAAATATATATGTACTAAAGAATTAAGATTGTGAATTTTTATTCTGAAGATCTTATGGTATATTTATACCCCATG